CACCATCCGGAACCAAAACTCAGCAGTTGATGTTTCCACTCGGACCCAACCCATCCAGAGAAGATCGGTGAGATATATTATTTTTCTAAATAATATAATTTATCTGAACCGACTTAACCTCAGCTTCTTGTGTCCAGATCTGCTGATCCCGGTGACCAGTTCCCAATGCTCATTCTCACATTTATTCAATAAATCTGTTAAACCTTTCTCAGTGTTCGGTAATTACTCAGAGCTCAGACCTCCACCCTTAACACATGAGCATTAACAGGAAGTGATGACAAGAAGGAACACCTGCATGTAAACAGATCATTGCTACAGTGGCTATAAAAACACAGACAYCAGCAAAGAATCTGATGTTTTGTTAGATTATTTTCAGTCTCTATAAGAGAGAGATGAAGAAGAGCTGTTTGTATGAACAAAGASCAGGGAGTTTCCCTTTTTTTGTCACTTTCTTTTTCATGTTCAAAGTTCAAAAACCAAAATATGCCAGTTGTATGACAATGAGTAAAATTGTGTGCATTATGCCAAATCTTTTAAATATTAAGATGCTTTCTACACTTTTTATGTGACACAAGTCATTTTTTCCATCTAATCGAAATGCAAAATTTGAGCAAACTTTTAAAATGTTGCAAAACAGAAAATAAAATAAAAAGCAAATTAGACATGTTTCCATCTACTGGTTTGAAGCAAAACAATTAGGAAACAAATCAGCCAAGCGTAAATTCAGCAGACGTTGATATTATTCATGCCTGTAATAAACATCAAGTAAAGTTTGGGGACTTTGGACAATAGAGTGGAATGTGTGGCCATTGGACAAGTTGTAGTTGTTCTGTCATATCAACTATTGGTGGTGTTACGTCCTGTCCAGAGGTGTAACAGCAGGAACAGCTGATCAATCATGTGAAGTAAATGTTCACTATGTCAGAACGTATTCAGCAGATGCCTTTCCATGTGCATGAACTCTTTTTCAGAAAATTCATAAACTACCTCGAGTGAGCGTAAAAACGTTTTTGCAAAATTGATGTTTTTTCGAATTTTGCCGTTTCCATCAAGGCAATACTTCAAAATGTGCATAAAAAACACTGATGGAAACACAGCTACAGGCACTTTAAACTTCCAATGTTGTGTGTCTATCTAAAATTTACTAAATTTGGATAATAGAGATGGAGACCGTGTTTTTATGGAYCATGCATCCACATCACTGCAAGAGGCAATCCAGTTTATGGTGTTTTTATTGGAAAATGTGCTCATTAATAAATGGTTTGGAGGAGTTATCTCTTTAAACATGTTGAAAACAGGTAATTTAATTCTTTACACAGTGTTTTTCTTCTTTCATCRTAGTGTAGCTAACTTGGGATTTTGCTGAAATTCTGTTCAATACCTTGTTAGAGTTCTGGCGTATTTATATATCTATGAGTTTTGAAAGGAAACACAGAGATGAGATCCAGAGGGTTTAAATGTGGCAGTTTTGGAGGAACAGTCTGAAACTTCAGCTCATTACTTTGCTCAGATCAATAATTAAGGGGGAGGAAAAAAAGACAAGAACAAGTTGTGAATTTACCTACATATCGTTCTGAAACACCCCTCTGGATCTTCACATCATCTGCCACGCATAACCTTGAGCAGCACTTTGTCAAAAGCTTTGCCAGGCCCCTGAGCTCTAATAGATTATTTGTGGACAAAGTCAGCTCCCCTGCGCCACACTTCGCCTTAGACGCTCCGTCTCCGGGTAGTAGCCATCCTTCGCTCCGTCCATCCCTCTGCCAGTGCCATCTGGCTCTCAGCACTGTGCACATTTAGATCAGCTGGGTGCCAATTTGTCCCTGTGGCTGCATGGGATGGAGTAAAAAAAAGTAAGAGAAGGAGGAGGAGGAAAGGTGAGAGATGGAAACAGATATCCACGACAGAGCAAGATTTAGCAGAGAGGCAGATGGAGCATAAGTCAGAAAAAAAAAGGCTGAACACGATGGTCCCCGGAAGCAAGAGACGTGCTCTGGTAATGGGAAGAACAAAAAAAGCCACTGTGTGTGTGTTTGTGTGTGCGTGTGTGTGCTGTTTCTCTCTTGTAATAAGAACAGAGTGATTGGAGTTACAGGACCACCAAAGGGGAGGACAAGAGCGATGAAGGAAGGAGGCAGCAAAGGACGGAATGAGAAAGAGGAGGTGGAGGAGGAGGAGCAGATGAAGTTTTTCAGCCAGCAGTTAAGCCCACAGCGACCCTGCCATGTCTAACAACCACACAATTGGAACTCTGTCAGTTCGTCTTTGCTCCCGCGACTCCCTTAGAATAAAAGATAAGGCATCCAAAGGTGGGGGGGGGTTGGAAGAAAGACAGGGGTTAGAAGAAGGATGATTGGGAGTATGCCCCCTTTTCTTTCAATAAAAGGAGGGATCTATGAGCTCATGGTTGTTCACTTGGATAAATGTCATATATTTTATTCTGTTCTGTGTTTGTAGTTTCATCTACCCTTTACATCTAAGGATGGGCATGGCTAATTAACTAAAACTACAAATGTTGTCTGTCCGTACCAACMACACTCGTCCCTGTACAAGTAATAAAAATAAAACAGCATGCATCAACAGAGACAGGAGAAAACAAACGCATACCCAACCCCCGTGCCTGTAGATAAAAAAGACTGCGGCGCCTCTCTACACTCCGGTTTCTCCCAGCAAGAGACTTAAGCTGCAGCAGAGGCCGTAGCGTCCGAAGCTAAGTCCCCAGCTGGACCCCTAAAGGGATTTAGAGAACTTCAAAATGCTTCCTTTGCTCCATGAAATAGAGCTTGTCAGTGTCTCACAACATAGCACACACTCCCCCCACTGCTGACTGTCAATAACAGGCGCACACACATGACATACGCTAAGATTTGAGAGCATGCTGCCGCAAGTAAAATGCAGGATTTGTGAGAAAGACGCAGTTGTAGGATGAAAAATAAAGAAAAAATATATGGTTAGGATTTGATGTGGTGTCTCCAGACCATTTTCTTTTTCAGACTGATGCAGACAAAACGCATCAATGCAAACATCTGAGCCAACCATTTATTATAGTTTAGACAATTKTTTTGCAATATGCACATTGCACAAGCTGTTATTGCAATGATGATAATTTTCAATAAGCACAACATTGTGCAGCCTTAATATGTGTGTGTGTGAACAGACTTCAAGATGCAAAATGCTTCAGTGTGTATTCATTTAAATATTYGTCTGTCAGATGCATGTATCATAAAAGTGCATCAGACGGTTTATCCTTGAGAAAATGAATAAATATTGTTCTTGTTCTCTGTGTCATTGAGCCTAAACATGCATCCTGAAGGGAGCAACCATCTGTGAAAACTGTTTTCTAGGAGGTGTGTGGCAGATAATCTATAATTCCAATTATACTCTGACGATGTAAAATAAATAAATAAATAAATAAATAAATAAATAAATAAATAAAAGAGATTTACCCTGACTTATTTTTTATGTGATGTAAGCAGTACAGCAGAACGGCTGATATGGACATTTTAAAGGAAGTAATGTACGGTCATATAGGTTAATGTCTAACGGTCTTTTACAGCATGCACCTCATGAGGTAAAGATTAATTTGTTAGCAAACACTTTTGCACATGAGTGATCAGCGGTAGAATTAATCAGGAGTCAGATTTCAGGACRTCTGATTAGCACAGCAGACCGTGCCAACTTTAACACCTCTGAAATGAGACTCAAACAAACCCTAATAAATTGCAGGTCTATGGTGATGACAAGGCCTGAAAAATGTATTAAATACACTTTCTATGCCAAACTCTAAGACAAAATCTAAATATCTGAAATTGGTAAAATAACTGAAATTAAATTAAATCATTTTATTTTCATTTTAGGCTGCATATATCTTTTTTTACAAACATTTTAACACGAAAAATTAAGAGAGCTTTTATCTATTTTCTGGTCTTGTTATATTTCTTTTATAGACATATTTTACGTCATTTCTGCACACAGGACTTAGCATATATTTTAGTAAATGAACCATTAGTTTTATGCCTTTTTAATCCTAACAAATTTTCTGTACAATTAGCAATACATTTTAACAATAAAAGCATTTTCTCTCTGTGCAATTGATGCGTAAAACAAAGAAGCTGCTTTTCTGATGGTTTATTAGGATAAACTGATGTTTTACCGAGACATTAGACAAACAAATACAAAGATTTTCTGCCTGGATGAAGAAAACAGCCCTGCTGAAGTGAACGTTGTGAATGCTCTGACTGCTGTAGGTCTGAAGAACAATGCTTTGTTTGTCGTTAGAGCTGTGTTTTCACACTGCTGAGGTTTTGTAAATATCCTCCAGGCAATGTGGATTTTTCAGCTGGATTTTAATACTTTTTCTCCTCTCCCACCCCCCAAGTGTGGAGTTGTGTTCCTCGACTTCCTTTAGTTACACATTAAACAGTGAGTGAGCATTTAATGAGCACAAAGCAATGAAATTCAGTCGTGTTAAAAAAAAAAGATGCCCTCTTTTAATTTTTAGTTCTAGGTTACAGAACATAAACATGAAAATAAATCTGGTTCTTTTGCGATAAAAGCAACACATGGCTCATTACACATCACTATTTGTAGAACAGAAACTGAGTCCAAATGCAGATGAGGTGTGAAAATTGAGGAGATTTAAATATTTTATAACTAATTCAACAAACATTTTGAAGGGATACTACTGTGGAATGTGTCACGGTCTGTGTCTTTTCTGCTTTAGTTTTCTAGTGTTTTAGTGTTTTCCCTGTGTTTCTCTCA